TGTGAGTTGCACAATTTTAACGAAAGTTTCAATCGCGGTTAGCGGTACGTGCCACACGTGCAATAATTTCTTCTGTGAAATTATTTTGCGAGTGCAAAGTCCCGAGTCACGCGGCACACAAAGGAATATCTTCTTTTACTATATTATTCTTTTATTATACTTGTGATAGATAGGTATTGTGTCGTACTTATGTTGTATTGTATGACTCGCGAGTCGATTGAATTTCTTCGCTTCAAAACACATTTTTACAAACGCGAACAAGTTTCGCCTAATATAAACGTAATACAGTAATCTCAAGTAATCCAATTATTATTAACGATAAAACGAATCATAATAGAAATGGATCAACAGAATCTTACTCGAGTATCCGATACTCGAGTAACACGCGACGAGTTTCGGGACACAGCAACGAAGCAGGAATTAGAAAACTTCTGATACGAATTCATGAAATTCAGATTGTTGTCTTGCAATACACCTCAGTATCCGAAGGGAAATTTCATGCCGCCAAGGAATACAAAGTCGCGAGAATTGTGACTGAGAGTTGAAACGAGATTTCCATAGTTTCAAAGCAAATGCGAAATCACGAGTATTTCAATTTTTCCGTTCATGCATAAATATTCACTCGGTGACATCTGATAATGTTCGTAAAACTCATTATTATTAATAAATAAAAAGCTATTTTCGCATGGTTAACTCGCGTATTTATATATATTCTTTGCGATTTTTCTAAAATTATTTTCAATTTTTGTAATTCTCCCTTTCCATCTTTGCGATATTTCAAAATCCAACAATTCTGATAAGCAATGCGAGATAACATATGATGCAATATGTTCAAAAAGTTTCTGGTTATATTCACAATTTAATAGTACGAATTTCGCCAGAAAAATGTATTATGTAGAAGATACATATCTATCTTGATTGTAAAAGATAGATGTGCGCGATAGAAAAACAGTAATATTTCTTAGCTTCGACAGAAATTCATGTTTCTTTTCGATGCTTTAAGCTGGGTGCTTTAAGCGAAATTGAAAAATAAGTGTTGCATGAAAGTGGCGCTTTGTGAAAAGTCTCGCCGCTCTGCGAAATTATTGCTTCGCTTTCCTTTCTCGATGCGCGGAACTTCCATCACCATTGCGGAAAGTGACGAAACTTCGTAATACAGGCGGTAAAATGGAGCATGAAATCCCGGAGAATAAGGATAAGGAAACATCCCGCCATTGAATTCGTGGTCATATTTAGTAAATGTAAATTTATTTTTGCAAATTTCGTAAAAGTTTTTTTAGGAATTGTATTCGCAAGCTAATTTTATACTTGCGTCATGGAAAAATTTTTTATAACGTACATTAGTACACAAGTTCGAATGCATGAAATGTTAATTAATATGTTCTGTGCATGTGATTGTATTTAAATAATTATTACAATTTTATGCTAACTTTTCTCGTATTATTCATTATAAAAATGTAAATAAAATATATGCGGAGCTCATTAAAATTTTATGAGATAAAACGAAATGTTACGTATTACAATTTATAAATAAAAATCTGCTGTATGTATAGAACAATAGAAAAAGATACAGAAGTGAAAAAGTATATAAAGACGCTAATGGACTTGCAGTTGTC